GGCTGGAGACACGAGATATTTTTCTTTCCCTAACCCTATATTGTATCGGAGACATGAGGATGGACCCTTGCGCCCTTATCTGTACCTCCATAACTTTGAAGCAAAGACGATGTCTAATAGTTTGAAATGAATCTTTTGAAAAAATAAAGTGGTTGTGTTTATTTTGCAGGCAATCAGAGGACACTGCACTATTTATGCTGAAAGAGATTTACAAAAATTCATAAAGACACATGTACAGTAATAGACAGATACGTATAACTCTATATTTGTGCATAATTGAAAGAAATGATAACTAAATGAAGAAATAGGAAGAGATTAATTACTGAATCAAAGATCAAATTAAGTCATATTGAAATTCAACACATACCGTTATTACCGTAAACCTACATCTAAGGCCTGTTTTATACGTCGAATTTCGGTCGTATCGAATGCAATTCAAACAATAGAAAATGAAGCTTAATGAGGTTTATCATCTCATTATCTGTCTTATTAGGTTTATCATAGGTTTATCATCTCATTATCTCATGATCCGTCTTAATTGATGATTCCCCTTATTACGTTTTCGTAGCGCTTTGCATTGTGGTTATAGTGGTATCACTGATAAAGATAGCGGCTTCGAATGAAAATATTGAATGTTTTCGCGAATATTTTGCCGTTGGCTATCGCGCACCTAACCCTAGCTTTTTTTAAAAGTTCTTGCATGGGTCAGAACAAAAAAATGAGCCATCTTGAATACCAGTGATACCACAATGCAAAGCGCTACGAAAACGTAATAAGGGGAATCTAGTACTGCATTCGACGCGACCACAATTCGACATCTAAAACAGGCCTAAAAGCGTCCCCCCCCCTGTCCAGTGGTGCATTTATGTATTATCACCATACCTTTTCTTATTTGGTGTTCACAGAGAGTACTATATGTGAGATTCAAAAGAGACATTTCAGTTCATACGTAGATATCCAGTCACACGTTACAGATCAGTAGGTTCTTGTAAAACAAAGTTAGTCATAAATAGAAAAGTTTATTATAAGAATTTTTGCTGACCTTGAGAAAAAAATCAAAATTAAATAAATTTATATTTTACAATTTGATCTTTAGTATCCACATGTGATAATATATCACTAGTTGAGGCATAAGCCTATTACGTATCCAAATGATACGTTCTGATATAACATGTAGCTGAAACAAAATAAACAAACTTAAGGTACACTTAAGGAATTATATTTTCAAATTTAAAGCAAATCAACTGTGGGGGAATTTATTGTTCTTTGAGCAACTTTGTTGCATATTCAAATGATGATTGCACTGTTAATTACCTTGATATGCATATTCTTGTTCTTCTAATCTCACTGCAATTTCTCCTGATGCGTCATTTGGATGCGCAGTAGAATTGGCTTACAAAATCATAATGGACCTTGTGCATAATGACGTCACCAGGCTTAAAATCCACTATGAATTCTGGTTTTTGTGATCACACATGACAAAAGTGAATGTTTAGAAGACCTTAGAAGCTTATTTAAGACTGTCGGTTTTGCAAGTGTCTTCAACAGTTTGGCAGACCTGTAAATCTTTGAAGACTTTGAAGTACTCAGCATTTTTCAACAATTTTGACAAAACAAAGTGGGGGTGATGTATTTTCTCAAAAACGTAAGGTTGGACACAAATGCAGAAATCTTAATAATTCAGACAAGCGTGGTTGGATATGATATTTACAATTCTTTACTTCATGCTATTTATCCACTAACCCATTGAACACTGGCACTCTCCCCTTGGTGAGTAAAATCTTCAGTAGTTCTGGTGAGACAGAGTAAAGCCTAATAGAGCCTTCCGGAAGGTCCTTGGCTTAGGAGGCTTGTTTTCATGATTGAGATATCGGCTTTAGAGCCCTTTATCTGGTTACTGATAACCTAATTATATCGATTTTGTAAATGTGTCATGGTGTCACCCGAAATAAGATAAAGGGCTCTAACCCAATATCTAAACAAACTAGCCTCTATAGAGAAGACTCTGACTAGGTACTTTCCGGAAAGGTGTATCATGGTACAATGCCACTTAAAGGGCTAGACCGGGTCCTAAGCATAAGCTGCTATGGCTGATCGCATTATTAATCCGCACCCCCCCCCCCCCCCCC